TACAGATTAGGGGTGGACCTGCTGGAGAGCAGCCCCGCAGAGAGGGATCTCAGCATCATGGTAGGTGACAAGATGACCATGAGGCAGCAGTGTGCCCTGGTGGCCAAGAAGGCCAACGGGATCCTGGGGTGCATTAAGAAGAGCGTCTCAAGCAGGTCGAGGGGGTGATCGTCCCCCTCTACACAGCCCTGGTAAGGCCACATCTGGAGTACTGTGTCCAGTTCTGGGCTCCCCAGTACAAGAGGGATGTGGAGCTGCTGGAGAGAGTCCAGCGCAGGGCTACGAGGATGATCAGGGGCCTGGAACATCTGCCTTATGAGCAAAGGCTGAGGGAGCTGGGCCTGTTCAGCCTGGAGAAGAGAGGGCTGAGGGGGGACCTGATCAGTGTCTCTAAATACCTCAAGGGAGGCAGTGAGGAGGAGGGGGCGGCCTCTTTTCAGTGGTGGCCAGTGATAGGACTAGAGGAAATGGCCACAAGCTGAGGCACCAAAAGTTCCACAGAAACTTGAGAAAACACTTCTTTCCTGTGAGGGTGACAGAGCCCTGGCACAGGCTGCCCAGAGAGGTGTGGAGTCTCTTTGTTGTCTTTGCAGATGCTCACTTCTTTAAAAAAAAGCTCTGAGTTTTCTCTCAAGTTCTGTCTCATGCATTACAGCAGCTTGGGAAATATTTATCAAAATCAATTGTTGAAGTGCTGTCCAAGAAGATGAGTTTCTTGTCCAGTCAGCTCCAAGTTGAATAAAACCTTTCTTTATTCCTCTGTTTATGCTTATGTTACAACCTAAGAATTCAAAGAAGTTTTAAATAAATATTGCCTTGGGAAATACTGTAAATTTATTCTTTGCTTGAAATATGCACAACCAGCGAGACAACAAAGCTCCACAATAACAAGCAGTAGGAAAGTGTAGGGAATCAGCTCTGAATGCACCATATTACACAAGTATTTCACCAATGGCACTCAAAAAGAAGAAAGAATCAAGGGAGTCTCCAGTTTCAGGTCATGGAGCACAGCCTTGCCCACCGTACATGAAGGATGCGTTCCTAATAGCGCAGCAGCTGGTGATTTGATGGATCGCAAAGCAAGCTCTTTCCGGTAGCTCTTTCCCACAAGAACTAATGCAGGAGGAAATCTGTGTAGACCTGAAGCGTCTGTGCAATTTAAATGCACAGGGACAGAATATAACGGTATGGAGGATGAGGCCATAGGAGCACAGTCATCAAATTTCTCAACTGGAGGAGATGCTGGATTTCAGAGGCTGAATTTTCAGAAGAGAGCACTTCTCCAAAAATGACCTCAATGACTTGGTCTTGTGATACTTCCTAAAACCTGATGCCCATCATTCAATGTGTGTTGCTGCCTCTCCCTAAATGGTCACATTTTCATCATTGCCGTCAGCTCCCTCAGATGAATCGAGGTCAAGCCAGTCAATCAAGAGTGAAGGACAAAAACCATATTAATTGACAAGAGATACAGAGCAGGGTATAAACAGTCGGTGGCAGAGCTTCAAAATACAGATAGAGAAGGGATGCATAGCAAGCTGTGCTGTACAGATATCTCAGACGTTCTTCCATGAGGTTAGCAACTTACTGCTTAGACTCTCCATGGTTCAGAAAAATAGGGTCAAATACATGCAAAATATCTGACCTGATACCGGAGAAGGAATGAAAAGCACAAATATTTTCCCTATCCAAGACTTCATAATCCTGTGATAACAGGCGCATAATTTCAGAAGTCAACCTCTGGTTGTATCAGATCTTCATTGCAGACAAAATAAGTCAAAACAAGTTACAGAACTTAAATATAGGTTTGCAAAGTAGAGATTGGGGATCTCCTGACTCTTTGTCAAACAAGCAAGTGATTGAGAGTCTGCATATGTAGGTCCTATAAAGAGGACATAGTAATCTTTGATTTATTTGTACAATCACATGGAAAGATACTCCAACCTCAAAGACCTTCCTCTTCTGTCCACCTGTCCTATCTGTCCTCTCTCCACTTGTTTGTCTAGCTATGTGTACATAGCGATGTATACATGTACATAGCCATAACAAGCAGAAGGTCTAGGGCCGCAGTGTCAGGAGACAGAGCTGCCACTCTCATTATGTAGCAACCTCTGCAGCAATCCTAGGACCTGCCCAGATCTTCTGGAGATTTGGTTGGAGATCACTGGGGACTTCTGGGAATCCCTGAAGAACTGCTGCTAATGGGCAAAGAGAGAGATAGGGCCAGGCAAAGCTCTAACCTCTTAAGAAGTTAAAGCTCAGCAAAGTCCCCTCTGCAAGGTTGGTGATGACCTACAAGTAGGAAGAGTAGTCCATATAGCAGACGGTCGCGCTGCTATTCACAAGGACCTCAGCAGGCTGGAGTGATAAGGAGAGAGGAACCTCGTCAAGCAAGTGCAGGGACCTCCACCTGAGGAGGAGGAACAAACTGTCGCTGCACATAACTTGTATCCTTCTGGAATGACTTACATGGGATATACATTCCTTAATATGGGGGTGGCAGGGCGGGTACATCCATTGTACTTTCAATGGATGAATCACTGCATTTGCCCCAGGAGACATCCAAAGGCACCACATGAGGCAGACTTTCCAACAGAAATGTCACAGTCTTGATGAAAATTTAAGGGAGAAGGTTCATCTTTGCATAGTTTTATTTCAGGAGAAGGAAAAAAACCCACAACTTTCAAAGGAGCAAAGGAATTGCAGTGGTAGAGTCGGGCTCTGAAGGGGCACAAAAATTAGAATACACATTGACCTGAGTTCTTTGCATCAAAGCCAAGCATCTCAGCAGCACTGGGAGGTGAAGAGGAGATAGAGATAAATGCCCCATACCTATTAGCATGATGCTGAAAAGCGACTAGGGCCAAGACAGCAACGGAAAAAGTTGATGTGGATACAACCAAAACCACTGCATTATAAAGTGGTGATGGCAGAAACCTGTCTCATTGTAGTTTGCCTTTGATGGGACTGGAAGAAAGAGATGTCAGCACCAACTTTCTTGTGCTGACGGTGGGCCTGAGGAGTTAGGGATGGTGTCAGAGCAACCAGAGAGGCCTCCACTGCAGTGGAAGTCAGAAAGAGCTGAGGAGGAAGAGGAGGAGGAGGAGAACATCTTCCAGCCCTCCACCTCTGGGCTTCCTTGAACTAGCAGTTTTCAAAAGTATCATGCAGGCAGAGTGCTCCAAAACAGCCTCAAGGGTCCTGTATCCAGAGACTTCATCTTTCTGGGATGAAACTCCCCACCTTGGAGAGATCATGCTTCCTTCAGCTGCCATCTGAAAGAGCAGAAAGAAGCATTGTCCTCCAAGCTGTGACAACATAAATATGTCAGGAATCAGTTATCTGCTGAAACGTGACCATCACAAGCAGCACAGAAATATGTGTGTATAACCAAAATGCAGCCAAAGGACAGGAACACTGAAATTCATTGAGAAAATGAGAAGAACTAGAAGCCCAGCAGACACGTTGCACCTTATGCCACCCCTCAGAAGGAACATGCCAGCCACACATGCTGCAAAGAGAAAGATGGACTTGGAAGGCAGACTGGAAAGGATGTGCGACTTGAGAACTTACTTCTACAGATAAGCAAAAGAAAGCACAAGGGTAATTCAATCGGTAACCATCTTCTCATTTATAAAATACTTCACCATTACCTTTAAACTGTCAATAGAGGGCATTCCGATCCTTTATTTTGGATAAATTAAGCTAATAGAAGCTACTGGGATTTTGTATTTCTCATAAATGTTCAGAAACAGTAGAGTTAATTGCCCGAGTGATTAATTTTACTTCCTATCAAGAGTCTAGAATAGAAAGCATTAAGATACAAAGTAAGTTCCTACAGAATTCTGCTCACACCAGAAGTAATTACTGGGTTTTAGGCATTCACCTGCAGTAGACATAAAGCAAATTTGTACAGCAGAATAAGCTAAAACCTGTATCCAAATCTGAAATATGATACCAGGTGCACAACAATTACCAATTTGCAGGCAATTACAAAAGCAACGTGCACCCCCTCCTTTGAGGACAGCAGCACCCTGTCCACTTGAGCTCTGCAATGAGGGGAAGACTCTTTTTCTTTTGACTTCTTTGGTTCTTCAACTCAGCACGTGCCAGGAGAGCCCTCCCAGAGATGGCAAAAGGGCATCCAGGGGACTGCAAGTAGCAGCTCGCGCAGAATGACTCAGAAATCTGTCCAGCCCAGCAAAAGGAACAGAAAACTCAGCTGGCCCACAAGCGCTTTACAATGATCTGAAGACTGTGAAGAGCTTGCTGCAAATCACAGAAACTGACGTTACCAAAGACAAGCCACCGGCATGGGGCTGACTGCAAGGACACTACGGGCAGGAGAAAGGAAAAATAAGTGTGAACTGGAGGTTGCTCATTTCACGTTGAGTTAAATACTTGGTTATCCAGTTCACAGCTGGAGTGAGGAGACCAAAGGACTCTCTACTGCAAGGGGGGTGAGGGAAGGACTGATCCACCTCAAAGGTCTGGCTCAGCCCAGGCTCCTTCAGAAGGGACAGCTGCCTCAGCGCTGCTCATGCCTCCTCATGGTGATGGTTTAAGAGCACTAACCCATCCCCACTGCCCCCCAAGCCAACAGAAAATTGTGAAGAGCTGCAGTAGAGCCCAAGAGAGCCTCTTCCCCACAGCCCCAACTGCAGCGTTAGGGGCAAACCCCACAGGTCACTCTCCCCTGCCCCCCAAACAGCAGGCACTCAAGCTAGACACAACTGCTCATTCTCAGCTGTCTACAACTGATGCTCCAAGTGCCTGTTCTATAAAGACACCAGCAAGGCCACAAACATGTTTGTATTTTTTATTATGAAAAGTACAAAAATGTTGGGTATAGTGAAGCTGTCATTAGAAATTTGAACTTTTTTGAGCCAACTTTCTATGTACATGCACAAGATTCCTCAAGTGGAACAATATCAAATGTGAAACACATTATCAGGATATACGATATATACAAATTCAGAGATTTAATACCTCTGTTACTCTATACATGATTGTTATACAAAAAGCCAATTCCTACTTGCTTTAAACAAGTATTTTAAATTAAACTGATGAGACTACCCACGTAAAACAGAGCAGCACCTGGGTAAAATCCTGCTATCTGAACAATGACTTCATAAATAAAGTACAAAATAATAGAGCAGGTTTCCAGCCAGGCTCAGTCTTCTATCGTGGCAAAGAGCCAGTGCTCTAGATTGAGGGAAGAGAAACAACAGAAACTCCTGCTGTCAAATCATAGATCTCACAGAAGGGAGAAAAGGTCTTGGCTTGGCTTTCAGAGCCCTGAGGAGTCACGGGGCAAAGCAAGCCACTTTGCTTTCGTAAAACCTCTCGCCCTTTAAACACAAAGGGGAAATAAAAATAATTGAGCTTGCAATTAGTAGAACAACCCCCAAAACAAATAGCTCCAAAGCCAAAAAACCCACACTGCATTACACTCCATTTTCCTCCTGGTCTTTCTTCCGTTTTTTTCAACTGGAACCAGCTCCTGCTTGGTAAAATAAGGCACTTCTCCCTTTGGAGCAGCTTATTTCCATAGGTTTCAGCTTAGGTCCGTTTTACACACGGAGGAGATTTCAGCGATGCTGCTTGTGACAGCGGAGGGGACGCTGTTTGGAGCGGTTGCCTTCCAAGCACGGATGGCCTCAACAATCCCCACGGGATTGCTGGCCGCCAAGTCGCAGAGCGAGTACACGGCTGCCAGCTGCACGCCCCAGGGCACATCTGCAGGGAGGGAACACCAGTCAGCACAGCAGCTCTAGACACAGCAAGGTGCTGGGGATACCCGGAGCTTAAAACAAAATAAAACCTGCATGTTTCAACAATTAGAGGAAAAAAACAAACACATTAAGAATCAGGATGCTTATAGCCTGCTAGCTGGCTTAAATTCCTCAATATCTCAGTTTTACCGACACTCTCTAATTTTTTGAGCTTAATAGGCTTTCAGTATTTGATGAGGAACAAGGGGCTTGAGTGCCTAGTGACTGAGCTCTGATCTAAGGGGGCCAAAGGGTCAGCTTTACACAAGAGTCTGAGGCAGCAACCTCAAGCTAAATACTGCTTACCTGCAGGAACTAGAAACTGGAATGGAAAGAAGCCATAAGAGCAGTTCAGGACCACCCTAGCATCAGGGAAAGCCTCACTGCAAAATGAGACTGAGTGTGTAGGTCACGTGCAGAATAACTGAGCAGTGTAGGTCTCTGCTGCCCTTACTGGTTGCTCCATCCTGCAGTCAGGAATTCAGACTGTCCTCAGGCCTCCACTGCCAACAACCTCCTGCCAGCAGCAACACAAGCACTCCGGTAAGGAAATGGGGATTCCTGCTCATATCAAGGTCACTGTTTTGGTTATCCTACAGGCTCTCACATGAGGGAGTCCAAATCCAGGCTGGCTGCATCCAAGTTGTGTTCCTAGGTTTTGGACAGGGAGCAGGGGCTCCGTTAACCAGGGATGCCAATGGAAACCGGTTCTGCACTGACATACAAGCGCACAAGCAGCCTCTTTTGGCAGGAGTCTCCAGGCCATGTGTTCAGTTTACATCGAAAGAACTTCAAATTCTAGATTTTTCACCAATTTCCCCTAAGCAGACATTACCTTCTTCTTTTGCATGCTGCACAAACAGCCCAATCACAGAGCTAATGTTCCTCACTGCAGAAAGGTGTCCTTCCTTCAAGCCTATTTGGCCCAGTCGACCTAAAAACAAACAAAAAATCAAT